ATTCCTGTCAGCAGCTAGGCTTATTAGAGAATTAGTAGGAAGTGAACACAAAAGAGGGCAGACTCAGTAGGACCAAAGTCATTACAAAATGTAAATTAACATTAGTGGCCTTTCTCACTGGAGTTTCTCTCTTGATCTAGCTCATGTCACGAGTATGGACATTTTACATTTTTCATATACTGTTTCTGGGGGGAAAAAAAGGAAAAAGAGAAAGATGCCAATTATTTCTCCAGCATGTTGGCATTACTCAGTGATGCTTTTAAAGGAATTGTTTTTCGGTCTATGTTTAATGTCATCAGAATTGCAGTCCTTTCCTGTACAAATTCCCTTTTATTTTGTTTGTCAGACATAGGTAGACTATATATGATTACTAAAAAATGTGTAAGCGGTACTAAGACCCAGATCCAATACAGGCATTTTAGATATTAATTCTCTAGACCGCCTAGATAGTTCTGTGGATCTGATCCTTGAATTCCAGGCTAGTATCTTAGAGTAGCAGCCAGGAAAGTTGACAGAGTTCTGGTGATTTTTTTCTGCTGCAATGATGCAACATATTCTGAGTACACAAGCAAATTGCAAACTAAAAAGTCACATAATCCCTCCAACATGCAATATGTTCTAAGAGACTTACACTTGGAAGATAAATCCAGCATAGAGTGACCTTCTGTATACATGGGTTCCCAAGCATGTACAACAGAAAAATAGTAGACCATAGGGTACCTTTGGTCTTAAGCTAGACATAGCCAACCCAAAGCCCACAAGCTGCAGCAGCCTGCTGTTTGTCAATCCACACAAAGCAAATGCTGCAATGAGACAGTGTGCCTGTTGATTCTGTTGATTCCTGATTTTGGGAATCCATTTAAGGGAAAGAAGCAGACTAGATCACCTTGTTCTTGGTTACACAGGAATAAAGGGAGGAAAAGAATTTTACGTCATTCTTTCTTGTTGTCACAACAGTCCCAAAGCCTGGAAATTCCTGCTTTCTTAAAACTTTGCAGGTCAGGCTACCAACAAGATGTCAAGATCTTTTGGCTCCTGCAAGCAGATATTCTCATTTCAGTGCATACCTCTAAAGCTAGTTAGAGGTACTGTATACCATATTATGTGTTTTTGCTGGTCTGTAGCAAATTAAAATATTTTGATATAAAGATCATAGACATGACTAATATACATTCTCATTATAGTACAGCTCAAGCTGCCTGCCTGATTGATGAACCTAAGCAAACAGGACATTATAAATACCCTGACAAACTGCCAGGGCAGATCTATGATGCTGATACCCAGTGCAAATGGCAATTTGGAATGAGAGCAAAACTGTGCAACCTCAGCTTTGTAAAGGTACCTATTGATATACTTTTGAAAAGTTAAAATTACATTAGAGAACTGCAGTACACTAAATAAGTACAAGTAACACAGTGTTCTTCAGAGGCCTGGGCTATTTCTCTACCTTATCTTGCTTGCCAATTTGCTTTGAAGGTACTGGCCTCTTTTGAGGAATATCACAGTCCCAGGGGAGTTTCAGAAGGAAATGTGTTCTTTCCAGCAGTCATAAGCAGTACAGTTGAATACTCATGAGCCCTTGCCTACTAGGGAAATTAGTGGGCAGTAGAGTTTTGATCAAAACTTGCATGGGGTGTGGGGTAAGAAGGACTAACTAACATGTTTTGTTTTACTCTTATGCATTGATGGCAAAGTCTGGAAAAGATCTATAGAGTTATTTTAGAACAATAAAAATGTAACTTACACTCTTGACTTTGTGATGAAGGATTAATTTAGATTAACCTGTTATTTTAGTGACTGCTACACTCCTTGCTGATCTCTTCAGAGAAGACATTTTATTAAATAATCTGGAGTGCTCATTCTGAAAAGAAGTATTGTCATTTCTTTTATTCCTGTTAATATTCGGAATTATTTTGATTTATTTTATACTAACCACATTTATCAGGTGATGGCAGCTGTGTTTCTTCTACAGCTAATAAACAAAGAAGAGAGAGTGAACAGCACTGTGAAGAGAGTATGCTTCCAGATATCTCCTGTGTTTTAGAAAAATCTAGTCTCTTCACAGTATTATAGTCACTGTAGACTTGATGAAATTTTAGCCTTGAACTTTTTAACACAGTTTTTGTTCTATTATAGTCTCACACTCAAAATAGTTTTAAAAAATATATAGTGAAATGGTGCATAAACAAGAAGGCAATATACAGGATATGGCTGTGCTATGAATCTTAACCCCTGGATTTTCTAAATTCAGAAAAGGTTTTATTTATATGGCTTTTAAGGTAGCAAAGGCATGTATGATTTGTTACTCTTTCTAAACACCAGGAAATAATGGGAATTATGAGTACTATAGTGAGTACTTTTTTCTTTTCAGGATATATGCAAATCTCTCTGGTGTCACAAAGTGGGTCATAGGTGCGAGACAAAGTTCATGCCAGCAGCGGAAGGAACAGCTTGTGGTATAAGTATGGTAAGTTGTTTTATAAATAGGACAATGTCATTCTGACTTGTTTTTAGACTGTATTGGGTCAAATACCAGCTCCTGTCAAAACCAGTTTTATCCAGATCCAGGTTTGCTATCATGGACTTCCGGATTGCTCTGTAAAAGACTGCATTGTGATACATAGTCGGGACTGGTCCTCACAGTGGCACCTATCTGATGGTAGGGAATGATGCCTCTCCCATCGAGCTATGGAATAAGATATATCAGGCAAATCTAAATCAGTAAGAAAATCCATTAATTATAACAGAAGTTAGGTCAAGGCTTCAAATTCCACTCTGATATAAACATTCCTTAAGCCATAACATTTGCTGTACAGACTAAGGTCATCATGCATATTACCATCAGTGATCACTACCGACAGAGCATGGATATTTGTTTTAGTTGAACCTTCTAATTTACACTCCTCTACAGTTACACAAAAGATTTTCTTTTGCTATAATGTTTCTTTCAGTAGAATATTGGTTTGATTTTCAAGTTACTGACAAATGTTCTATTTTGCTTTTTTCTCTTTGTGCAGTATTTTATAATTGAATGATAAAAGGGAGAAATTTTAGCAGAATTTTAGCAGGCTGTTTTTAAATTACATGGGAAGTTTTGAGGTTCTGACAGCACAGGACCATAAATTAACATGGATTTTTGGGGGAACAGTAAGCCAAAAAGATACTAACCAAGAGAACAGTTTTGAAAATGTGTACCTCAGAGATCTTCAACTCAGAACCTGGACAAATTTTAGGACATTAGTTATCTATACCATTGTGTGGATCAATGTCCTACTTCAGAGTCCTTGTCCTGCTGTGAACTATCTCACCCACCCATTCAGTGGGTGACCTCATGATTATTAGGGTTAAGCGCTGGAGCTTTTAAATGTGGATTTTTTCTTTTTTGCATCTACTAGGTACCGCTAACTCTGATGGGATATTTTTTGGCATTCTTTTGGCAGTGGTGTCGAAGAGGACAGTGTGTCAAATACGGTGATCATGGACCCAAGCCTGTAAATGGCCAATGGTCTGCCTGGTCCGAGTGGTCAGAGTGTACTCGCACTTGTGGAGGTGGGGTCACATATCAAGAAAGACACTGCAATAATCCAAAGTAAGACATAGATATGAAAAGGTATTATTTTCATACTAACTATTTAAGTTTTTAGAACAAAAAAAAATAACAGTCCATTTCTGTGGGGAAATAGTACATGTGAAAATGTTTCTAAGTCCTTTCTTTCATGTCCAATATGACCAGTCAGTAGCTGAAAGACAGAAATATGTCGTGATACTAGAAAGTAGTGGCTGTCTGAAGACTGCTAGAGTACTAGAACATCTACAGCCCAACTTTCTTAATTTATTTTGTGACACTATAGTTTATCAAATACCCGCAGGAGTAACGAAACGCCACACAGACATATTCACACCTAATAATTTAAGAGCAAGGGAAAAAGGTCTTAAAAGCTATTAAGACTTCTGATGAGATCATATTATCCAGGATAAGAAACAAAAATGTTTAAAGTCAATATCAAAATGGTTGTAGACAGATGTCTTTGTATGTCTGTCATGTTCTTTGCATTCTTTTATGTTTCACAGGTGAGAATAAAGTTGCTGAACCCTAGAATTGTATGCTAACTCACAAAACATTTCTAGTATTTTCCTCTAGTGAATGTCTTATCACTGTAAATACTGCTATTCCTTACAATACTATTTCAAAGTAGAGGTCTGACCAGCATCTTTCCCAAGTACTCAATTCACCTCAACTTAAAAGAAAAAAGGATTTCACTGGTTTATTTCATACACAACTTCAACATGCATAGACACATGTATTCTTCATTGCACACAATAAAAACAGCATTTAAACTGCAGTAATAAAAAACAGAGAAAATATGACACAGTTTATATGAGGCTGTAAAGAAGCCTCACACCTATTATACAGTGCTGCAGTAATAATATCCACGCTTCATATACTATGTTATAGGAAAATGTGAGTTAGTTAAAGTAGTCTTTATTACCTTCACTCAGTCAAGCCAATTTTTGTGGATCTGTAGCAGAGCGTTTTCTCAACCTTTTCTGTTTTTTCTCTGTGTATTCTGATAAATAAAATTACTTGGATAGTTTCCTTTATTAATCTATTTAGCAAGAGAATGCAGGGTCTCAATTACATGTCATACATATATTTTTGGTCTTCCTACTTTGGTCCCTGTTTTGCCTGCTAAATTTGTATGTACGACATTGTTCTTTGCATCTATTCATAAGCCTTCCCTTGCTCTCCCTGTGTGACAGAAGAATGTCCAGTAGTTGAGATGTTTCAGCTTGGTGCACTATTGTAACTGATGATGATTTCAGATGGTCTTCAGACAGAAGCTCTTTAACGTGAAGGGTGTCTGTTACTGTAGCATTACATTTTTCAAACTTGCATTCAGAGTGATCTGTCTGTTCTAATTAAAGTAAGACTTGATGTAACCAAGTAAGACTTGATACCAGACGGGATCATGTTTATACTAAATTTAATTTTATTATATTAGTGATAATTCAGTTAGAGCAAAGAGAAGATACTATAAATCTCTCTCAGAGTTAGAGTGATGAAATGACAGGACTATAAATAAGCCATCCACACAGCAGTGTACGAATATCCAGGTAGCTGTATTTCCCATCACAGCGCTTTTGTATAAATGTGGACTCATTAGAAAAATGATACTATCCATTTTCAGTGTTACACCACATGGAACAATTTATAACCTAGTCACTGTTCATTGTTCACCTCTGTAACTACACATAAACAAAGAATAATGATTCCTTTCTTTTTGAACTTCTGAAATATATTTCAGGTGTTTATATATTCCAGTACAAATATATATATTATTTCATATGTAATATATTTATTTCACTTTTCCTAATCCAGATTTGTGTAGGAGCTAATGTTTATTTTGTTCAAAAGCTTGATAGAAGATTTTGGGTAGCAAAATTTTGAGAATGACAAAGAATAAAATCTATTTCTGTAAGAGATTAGGACAAGGGGTGTGGATCTCTGAAGAACTGACTGGACTCTAAAATGAGGTTTTTAAATAAGTAGTCAATTTTTCAAAGCAACTGACTTCTTATGAACGCTAAGGGAGATTTCTACATTTCCAGTGATTTTAAAGGTGACACATCTTATTAGGAGCTTAAAGACAGGTGAAGAACACAAATTCAGGCTACTGCTTATGAAAATCTCGTTACATGTGTTTGTATGTGAAATTGTCCTCTTGCAAATAATATCCAACCAGTTAAATCCCCTTTCTCTTGACAATTTTAAGGCAGACCTTGTGACCACACCCAAACAGCTCTGGTATGGCTTCTGAATTACCACCTGAGTTATGTATGAATTCATACTAACAAACACCTATGGAGGTCATCTGTAGAACACAGAACCATGCAGATTTGCTAAAATCATTATGTTTCTGTAAATTGTCACAGTGTAATTTCATGGATCTGGTTTTCATACATCACAGCATTTTACAATTGAGGTACTTTTCCAAGATAGAAATAGATTATATAATTTAATAGTTTAGCTGGGAAAGAACCTGAAGAGTGCTCGAGAGATTTAAATTAATACCTAAATCATATCAGTGGGACTGCATCCTACCCACTTCACAATAGTGCATTGTTCAGTAAGAGTAGAATGGAGTTTTAGGCATGTATGCAATCAGAGGACTAAATCAGAATTGCTTGAACACGTCTTTTATTCTTTTGTGTACAATATCTGTAACAGTGATTACAGACAATGCAGATGTAAACTGATGCAAAGTAATGATGCCATTTAAAATACTAATTAAAAATGAAGACTGTGAAAGACCTTGTAGACCTTTCAAATTCATACAGAATAAAATAGTCTAGCTTTGTGATACTATCGTATCATGATAGTATCACGTAATATATTGGTCATAATATGAGCAGAAATGTTTGCACTTGAATTTAAATGATTGCAAAACATGAAAAAATAGGAGTCCAGAATTTCAGAGTCTAGTTCCCTTTGTGATGCATAAAATACTTCCCCTGATCAGGTTAATTCCAGGATTTCTTACTCTCTGTGTTGCATTGCAGTGAATATCCATTTTACTTTCATTGTTCATTCTTTGGAGACTGGTTTTCTGCTGGCCTTTCTCACCAAATTGCTCCCTTTTCCAATTATCCTCAGCAAGGCCTCAGCCCTAACAGCACCTATTCATGCAGGTACCTTTACCTATACATGCCAATGCTGGGGAGGTACACAGATGGATGAAAAGTTTAGGCTACATCTGTATTAGGAGCACTGTATCACTATAGAAATACTGGAATACCTTCTGTGCAAAGTGTTCCATTGTAAGCACAGTTACTAACAGAGCTTCTGCAGGCAAACCAAAATCTACGGGTGGTATAAACATCACCAATAAAAGCGGGATTTTGTCAGTGTAGATGATAGTCTTTTCTCAGAAATTTGGTTTTGTACATCTACATCTAGTTGCCTGTGAATTACTTTACTTTTACTGACATCTTGTTGGTAAAAAACGAAGGTGGGGAAGTTTCCATAATTCTCTGGCCAACAGTTTCAGTAATGGGAGTGTACTGTAATATTAAAATGCTGTAACAGAGCTGGGAAACAGAATGCCTCTTTCAGTGCTCCCTTAGTTTGGTGGGATTTTATACCATCCTCAAATGCAAGACTGTGGCTAGAAATCACGATCTAGCCATAAATAATTCTATTATATTGCGTGTTTGGTGGCATTTACTTGGAAGGAGATTGCTTCTTTCCCTTACACTCAAGCAGATTTGTTCTCCAGGGCTGAAGGCGGTCAACAATCATACACGTGCTGAAGCTGTAAAGAAAGTCTGTAGAGAATTGAGTAAGGACCCAAGGGTTTGGCTGCCTTAACTCAAAGCTCTCACCAATTGCACAAAGTCAATATAAATACTCCCTGACTTCACTGATGTTACATATCCTCCCTGCCCTTCACAGACTGAATTGCCACCAACTAGAATAGAAAATTTGACTTCGTTTTAAGACCTTTGCTATTATACCCCATGTCAGGGTGGCTAGTAAGTGACCTCAAGAAAAGTCACTGGAAGTTGGTTTTTTTTTTTCACAACACATTTTGCTGGTGCTTTATCCCAGTTTTAAATAGAATAGCAGGTGGGTTTCCACCTCTTCCTTTGAAAGACTGTTTCGTAGCCCAGAATTCTGGAAAAGCCAGATATCGTGTACCTTCAAAGCTGATTCAAAATATAAAAACCAAGCCCGAGCTTGGTTAGAGGGTTAGACATATGAGGGTTAAAATTTATAATAAAGCAAACAGAAAAAGCACCTGGATTTTCTCATCCATGTTGCACCAGGCTGTCTCCATATTACTGCAGTCAGATGCATGTCAAGAGAAGTTGCATGGGATACTTGTTATGGGGAATAGTTATAACATAGTGTTTACGGATTTAAACAAACAACTCAAATTATACTTGTTGCAACTGTATCTTTTATATTAATTATTATTGTTAGTTAATATATTATTATTATTCAGTGTCTTTTATATTATTCTGATTTTTTTCCTTAATGTGTGTGTAACATGGGCAAGCTGTCCACTGAAAGATCATAGCTTGTCTTCCAAGTATATATGATCCCTAATTTTTAAAAATCATTGTATAAATGTATGCAAGTGCAACATTTCTTTTCACTTGATGCAAGAAATTGTATAATAAGAAGAACAGTTCTTAGAATTTGGTGTTTTGAAGATTTGGCGCAGTACTTGCAGATGTATATCTGAGCATTGTGAAACTGCAAAAATAACATCAGTGAATTCCTACGTAGGTCCATAAGGAATACAAAAGTGAGTGAATACATTTCTCAGCAGCTTGTGAGACCTCTCAGTCACTTTAGAAAGAGCAAGTCTTACATTTTCATTGTTTTATCGTTGTGTGCATAGATCAAATAGTTAAAAACTATTATTCTGATAACATAAGATACTAGCAAAGTAATAGAATATGCTCTCTTCATTCTGGCCAAAATTAAGAGAAATGCCCAGGTAAGGTTTGCTGAAGTGGATGTGACATGTTTAAAGTTCTCCATGAATTCCAGCATTTTCCTAAAGCAGGACAACTGTGCACAGTCCTTGTTTCCTTTGACTGTTTAAAAGCACATTTTTTTCAAAATGATTTACAAAACAAATGAACAACCAAATGTAATTATTCATTCTGTTTATGTTTGATCAGTGTTATGTTATCCTTTATTAACTCTTATTGTGATAGGTAATTCTTTGCACATGTTCATTCCTGGGTTACAGCAGAGTAAAAATAGCTGTATAACAAGATTGAAACCAGCCAATACAAAATAGCCCTATAAATTTAAATTAGTGAAAACATGACTCACCTCTAGATGGTTGCATCTTTGCTGAGTTTGCAGTGATCCAAGTAGATAATTCATGGCAACTGCTTTGCTTGGTTTTAGGAACCTCGAAAATTAATGGCCCATATAGGAAATACTCATCTCCTAAGACAATACACCCTCTCATTTTCTCTGTTAATACACATGTAACATGCCAATCACACAGCAAGTAGGTTTTGCAAAAGATTTTTTTTTTCTTTTTTTTAGGCCACAGTATGGCGGCAAATTCTGCCAAGGTTCCAGTCGTATTTATCAACTTTGTAATAATCAGCCATGTCCAGCAAATAGTTTGGACTTCCGTGCCCAGCAGTGTGCAGAATACAACAGCAAACCTTTCCGGGGATGGTACTACAAATGGAAGCCATATACTAAAGTGGAAGGTAATTATGCCAAAGCTCTGATGGACAAAGGCGATTGCAGGAAGCCAGCTGTAAGCTGTAATTCATGCATATTCTTTGGGTAAATATCACCCTGATGTAGGCAAATAGAAATTCAGTTGGCTTATTGGAGACGTGTTTGCTTTCTAGCATAGATGAATCTGACCTTCTGTGTGATACTGCCTGTACGAACACGCAGAATTGATTTTGGTTGTGAATTTAAATCTTTGTCCTTAGCATGACTTCCTGGCTGTTGCTACCCCTCTCTTTCATTTTATATTACATATCTGTTAGTGTAAAAGCAAAACAATTTCCATGGATTTTTCAGCATGGGAAATGTGAGCTCCCACAATAACACTACCAGAATCTTCCTTCCTTTGGAATGTTCTCAGATTTCAAAACGTAACAATAAATCAACCTTTTGACTTTTCTGCTGGTATAGTCCCATGAGAATTGGAAAAACAAACAATGTACTGGCATAAATTTTTTGAAGTCATCTTTTACTAAGAGATCTTTATAAAGTTCAGGTCTCAATAACTATTTCTTGTCTTTTGTACAAGCAAAGTTTATTTTTACTTTACGCATCTTAATTTTGCAAATATTTTGAATCAGTATTCTTTTTTATCAGACACAACAAATAGTTTCTGCAGTTTGAAAGCACAGTTTGTAGCTGCAATTGCTACTACTTGAATAAAAGTGGCTGGATTATGTCACATTGTAGCTGCTTCATTTAGCACCTGTACAAATTTGCTTTTGATGATAAGTAGTGTATAATTATCTATATATACACATACACATACATGTAACTTTCATGCATAGCCTGATTATATTTTCTTCAAAAGACTTTGCAGACATTTTCGTGGGTATTTAGAAGCCTATGTCCTAACAGCCATTGTGAACAGAGGAAAGACGAAATATGGTTTCACAGCATGTAACAATGGATGTTGTAAGATAGGGAGAATAATGCAGAAATTAAGGTAGCCTACATTGGTTTTAAAGGTAGGAGCCACATCTAGTGAAAGAAATAGGAGCTTAAAATTGGGGACAAAGGGCATAATTTTCAAAACCAAGGTGTCCCCAAGTGACTCTGAACTTGAAAATGCCTGTCCTTACTCTCTCAGCTGCTTTTCAAAATCTCCCCCAAGATCTACGTTTATAGTCCTGAAAACACAATCTGGTTTTCAAAATTGCTACAGATGCCTTGCCTCTGTAGAAGGTACTATTGAAAATCCAGCTGCTTATTTAAGAATAAAAGGATACTATTTTGAATCCAATTTCATGTTCTTCAAAATTTTGTTATGCTGTTTTATTTGTTGCACTTACTATTTCTATTAAAATTGTGTATTTCAGCTATTGTGACAATATTTACAATTGCAAGACTGGTTTTCTCTATGTAGAATTAATCAGCCCTTTAAAGCATAACATACCATCCATGTAGAAGAAGAAATTTGATTGACAATGGTTGGGATTTTTTAGAGGAAAAGTGCTTTTTGTTAGGGGAAAATCTGGCCCCAGTCCTAGCTTTCAGCTGAACTGATCATTTGTGCCATCTTATATATTTTTCAAATTTTAACTAAAAATTAAATAAAATTATTACAGTCTCCCATTTCTCTTAATGAAAAAAGAGATTTGAAACTGTGAACCAGTGGAACGGAAATCAGGGCCACATAAGCAGAGCTAATGCAATGTGCATGTTTTCACACTGGTTTTGAATTCCTAATTCTATGTGTGGACAGTCAAACCCACATGTTCTTTTAAAATAACATAATATAAGCTACTGTATTTGGCTATATTTCTGCCCATCTTGGGGTCCTAATATGTCACCACACACAATTAATCCTTGTAGCTTGTCATCTAGGATGCAGGAAGAAACAATAGCAGGGTGCTTTTTTTTTTTTTTTAAACTGTGCTGCAGGTCTGCTAATACATTCTTGTCTTGTTTTTTGCTTTTTGTTTTTTTTTCCCCAGAGGAAGATAGATGTAAATTGTACTGCACAGCTGAAGACTTTGACTTCTTCTTTGCAATGTCCAGCAAAGTGAAGGATGGAACTCTGTGTTCTCCAAATAAATATGATGTTTGCATTGATGGAATATGTGAAGTAAGATAAAATTAAGTTTCTTACAATCCTAATGTCTATTTTTTTAAGTAGGCAATTGACTCCTTTATGGAAAATGCAGCTGTTTCTTCAAATTCCCTTGTGTCCGAGTCCTTCACTTGTGCCTTTTGGTTGCAGCAAGTAGGGTGTGATCATGGACTTGGTTCCAAAGCCGTATTGGATGCTTGTGGAGTTTGTAAAGGAGATAATTCAACGTGCAAGTTCTTTAAAGGCCAATACTTGATCCAGCACAAAGCTAATGGTAAGGAAAGCTGTTCCACATGATCATCAACTCATTGCTCTGCTGTATCCCCATGTAATATATATGACTCCTTGCTCATTAGGGCAGTGGCTAAAAGTCCAGATGTGAACTGAAAATCACAGGGAGAGTGAGAGGAGAGTTCACATTTCTCCTGTTTCTTGGTAACAAGAAAGCTATGAGCATAAGTTTTGGTTAGTTAATTTGCAAGCATTCCTCTTGTTTCTTAAGCCACATTTTCCCTTTACGTGTGAATTTCCTCCTAGAAGAGATTTTAGGGTTCAGGCAAGTGAAAAAATAGCTGTCAACAGCTCTGACTGGAATGGGACCGTAGAAGATATAAAAAGCGATACACAGTGTAATGCCAAACATGACAGTATTTCCATGTCCATTTTCAAATTAAGTTGACTGGAAGCTGTCCAGCTGATTCATTGGATGATCCAGTCACTGGGAGGTGGACTGTCACAGGCTTCTTGTGAAATAATCTCACTATGCCTCAGTTTCTCAGGCATAAAATGCAGATAATATTTCTTTACCCACAGGGGTATTTTGAGGACCCGTTTACTGCTGATCATAAGACATGTCAATGTAATATGATTGACAGTAATATAGGCCACAAAATTGTTTAGGATATAGTAATACAGAGATACAATGCTAGAAAAATAATCTAAATTGAATGCTTTGCGAAATTCGCTGTGTGCGATGCGTGTTGGAGATTGTCAGCGGTGTCTCATCTGACTGCAGAATGAGTAAGATTTCTACATGCTCAGAGTGCAATGGGTTACAGCAGGGAGATCCAGTGGTATACAGGGATTTGTGAAAGCTCTCTGCATCCCAGTTCATCTCACCTCAAAAACCTTGCCCATGATGGAAGTAGTACCTTCCAACAACTGTAGAGAACTACAGGGAAAAGATGGTAAAACAATTACAGTGAAACCACCATTAGTCTGTTCTGCATTTTTGTAAGGTGAACTTGCTTTTTCTTGTCTTTAATCACAAAGAAAAATTCCAGGAATTGAAATACCTCTGAGTTACTCTGATTACAGGCTGCATAGGGGGGTTAAAAACAGAACTGGTTTCTCCTTGTGAAAACAGAGTAACTTTGGTGGATCAGAACAGCTGTCTTCAATATCTTTTAATCTGCAAAAATTTCAAATTGGCTCAAAAATTCTCAGCCATCTCTATCTGTATGACAACTGCAAAAATGTCGCTTACTTCTTTCATTTCAGACTACTATGCTGTGGTCACTATTCCAGCAGGAGCACGCAGTATACAGCTCCACGAAATGCAAATCTCCACCAGCTACCTTGCAGTACGCAACCTCAGTAAAAAGTATTATCTAACAGGAGACTGGACAATTGACTGGCCAGGAAAGTTCTCCTTTGCTGGAACAGTTTTTGATTATCAACGCTCTTTTAACCATCCAGAGAGTCTGTATGCAGCAGGACCGACTAATGAGACGCTGGTCTTTGAAGTAAGCTTTCTTCAGTTTATTCTTCCCTTGATGTCTATTACAGAATTAGTAACGACAGCTTTAGCTCTGCACTGTAGCTCTCAGCGAGATTAAGGAATAGCGTTGAGTCACGATAGTATTCAGGTTTAATTGTGTAGTCATGCTAGATTGAAAGGCCTTTCGCCAGTTTATCAAGGTCTGAAATTTAGTAAACTGTCATAAATTCAGTGAAAAGGAAGGTGCATAAAACACACCATATAGCATTATTTCTCAGTTGCTGCGCAATGGTAATAGAGATTATAAATGCATCCCATAAATGGTACACAATAAAATTCAGTGATGTAAAAATTAAATCTAACATTATGGCAAGGCTTAATGGTAATAGTTTCAAATAATGCTTCTGAAACTGCAGGCGCATGTAGCTGTTTTTACACCTACCTTGGGACACAGATGGTCAAAGCACCACACACAGGCTCCTGTGTAATTTCTGTTGATTCAGTTTTATTTGTGATGATAGCATCTAAAATAATGAAGTTTATACATGTTTATCTCCCAGTCAAATTTGTATCACCTATTCTGTCTGCCAGATGTCTTGTGTTGAAATTATTTGTAGAAAGTAAATTTGGTACTTAGATGGTTTGTTCCAGTGTTACAATTTTGAAATTGACCACTAATAGTTCTGTTCCAAGAAAAATCTCTTTCTTCATTAGGTTACTTTACTAGATTTTCTTTTAAAATGCATCAGAACATCTGAGGGTCAATTTCTGGCTGAATCGCCAAAGTCTTTACTCCCTGTTAGCTACATTAGTTTGCCTGCTTTGTTAGAAAGCTCTAGCAAATCCTATGACGTCTGTTTTGATAAATCCTTCCCTGTGAGAAGGAAGAAGCCCTCCCTAGAAGGGATTCAATTCCTTCCCACACCTTCCAGCAATACTCTGGTCTGCTCACTATCAAATGCATAGCTTTCTCTGGCGTGCACTTGGGGAGCCTGAGAGCGAGTGCTGTACCCATTCTCTGAGGCAGCAATCTGCGGTTTTTCGCCCCATCGTGTAACACCATAACTGAAAACTGCTCTCTGCAGAAGTTTAGCAGGAGCGGTGAGCTGAGAACTCTGCATCCCGTCTCCCTTATGCAGCTTTGTTCTGTTAAACTAAGAAACACAGTAAGTATAAACTGTGACATGAAATATATTCTTTAAGGATTATTTAAACTTTCACAACTATTCAGTAAAGTTTTTATTTGGAATACTGAAGAGCTGTACTGCCATTCCTACTGATTGAGCAATGTTCTTAAATGTATTGGTTTAAGAACCACTGAAGTTCATGGATCACGAACACATGTTAAAGTACTTCAGGATGAACACATGTTTTAGAACAGAGAGTTTGACATGGGCTAAGGGCGTGTATTTTCACAAATTACTATCACAATTTGCAATGCCTTTTTAAAACATTTTTTCTCAGTTGAAGAATTTTCATTTTGGGTATGTGTGTTAATAGGGATGCTTTAGTCCAAGGAAGAGTTTGGCCTGCAAGTTACAGACATGCTTCCCTGCCTGCAAATCACCTCCAAAATAGCCTTACACCAAAGAAACAAGCACACTTATAAATACTATGAAATGTTAAGCTGAACTCTCAGGAATCTTATTTGTCATAATACAAAGTAGATTGAAATCTATTATTACAGAGCTAAAGTATGAATAATAAATTGCCTGCAAGATGACTTACTTGGCTGCATATCGTGCGCATACTTTGCAGAATAAAGATTAAAGAAAAAATTTTAATGCCAAATAACACTTCTATTTTCATCCTATTAAATTATTCTAAACAGTTTTATTAAGATTTAACATTTAACTGGAGGCTATTGCTCCTATGAGAGCTTATTTAAACTTCCCTTGTATTTTTATTGAAATACCTACACCACTGGCATTAGTAACTGGGGATTCTAACGACTGAAAATGTTTCAGTTACGTATTCCCCAATTATATATATCTATGAGCTGTAGTTAAGATTTTTTTTCCTTTCAATATTTAAGCAACATTCAACAAGCTGAATTCTGAAAAACTGCAAAACTCTGTGTTCAGGGATCTGCATTATTTATGATTTACCAATAATTCTAAGCAGCAAAAATGTCAGTGAAAACTAAACAAATATGCTTTTATGAGAAAACACACATATCACTGAAGATCTGTTTGCAGCAGTAATAATGAAACAAATCCTACTTAACTATAAATACCAGAAACCGATAGAAGGCTGAAAAAAGGGATGTTTAAGCATACTACATTGTAGCTTTGTTCTTATTTTTATCTCATCCGTAATTTTCAAAGAAGCATACAAAAAACGTCCTGCCACCAATTTTTTATCCAATTAAGTTGATTTTCAATAAATAAGGCTTTCCAGGATTTGGACCTCAACTTCTCCCTGTAATGTTTAGATATTTTTTCTTCATTTTTTAATTAGGTTGTATTCAAAATAAATTTAATACTTATTTTCTAGATACTTTTTTTCCAGAAGACTTCAGTGCAAGCCCTTGTAAAAATGCACACTGCAGGTATTGAGAAATTGAATAAATTGCGCGCATAAATACAGGAAATTTTATTATTCAGGTGGGCAGAAATTATAAGGTTTTGTAGGTGCATTTATTGCCATTCCACTATGATCTGACAGACAGATTAACACAGCTTGTGCCTGTTTAATTTTGTAGTCATAGTTTTGCTAGACATTTGTGTGGTGACTCAAATGGGCCAGGTTTTTGACTGTGTTTCTGAATACAAATCAGCCTGCATGTATCCAGAAAGTTCAGGTTACGCACGTCCTCTGAGCAACATTCACAGGAGAGGATGGGACCAGTGCTCTCCAGGTATGGGTCCAGACAGGTCTGGCAAGTTGGTGCTCAAGGCAATCACTTCCTTTGAAATGCAGTCATTCTCCAAAATATTTTCTTGAAAGAGACATCTGAAGCATGTATTAAGAGAGAAGGAGGAAACCCAAATAAGAAAGAAATCTTAAAATTCCCTATTGTCTTGCATATCACAAGTTCAGCCTTGCAGTTCTATGAAATGTTTTGTATTTATATCTTATTGCACAGTATGTTCCTATGCATCTATTTTTTTATCAGGTTTTTCAATAGTTCAGCTGGGCATGTATCATTTAATCAGACTTTGCAGTCCTAAACACTATTCAAAAATGGATATGGGACAAGAAAAAGGCTGATAAAGCGCTTTTCTTATATGGCCTGGAATTTCACCAAAAAATAAATCCACATATATAGATTTACATATATTATATGTATGTAATTATGGGAACGAGTCATACCAAAGAAGACAAAGGGCAGTGAATCTGTAATTTAACTAGGTTGTGGGAGAAAAAATGCAAACTATGGTGGCCAAATATTTTCAGAGGAGGAGGAGAACATTGTGAGATGAATGTGGAATTAAATGTGTAGGATTAGTATTTCCTGAGCACAACTACTGGAAGTGTAAATGCATGACGAGATTTTAGAATTCATCAGAACCCTTTCTGGATTGTTCAAGAATTACTTTCACAGATGGAGGGAAGGCAAAAACCAGTGAACCAGTGCCCTTCAGAATTTGTGTGTCTGTATCCTTCTGAAGTATATAGTATTATTGATACTTTGGTCATTGTGTGTTTGTAGAAACCAATAAAAGCTGAAATGAAAACTATTCATGGGTTCAGAAGGCAGTTCCCGAAATGGTCAGATTCATGTTAGATGAAATAACAGACAACGGTCAAAGGGGTAGAAATATGATAGTTAAATGATAATCTAGGACCAGAAATTAATACCAGGTTTTTAAAATACGGTTTCTGCAGCATAATTGTCTCATCTTAAATGGAAACATGCTGGAATTTTTTTTTAATGTAGTTGAATATATTCAGCTCATTTATCTGTCATTTGGTCATAGGTAATCTAAGGTCAGCACTTTCAATTTAAAGACCTGGTCAGTGTTTTTCTGTTAACTGACAAATATCTAACTTGAGGAGAAACAGAGTAAATTCATCGTTCATTTATCCAGCTTTGCAAATAAGGGCTGCCAGCGGGCACCACTAACTGCTGAAAATACTTTCCAGAAGAGGCTAGCAGAGCACAAGGGACATTGCTATCACAGGGCTCTATCAATACAGAACTCATATGAGGTTCACTGGTGACATCCATTTGTTGAAATATTCAGTCACCCTCCGTGACTGACTCAAATTACGGGAAAGATTCTGGAAGGGCAAAAGAAACGGAACTGTTATGTGGACATGAAAAGTATTGCATGACCAGGGATTGATAAACCAACTTAAAAACATGAGAGTTTAATAATTTGGTTTTCCATTCTACCAATAAATGGATGAAGACTTGACTGATTTGAGAAGTCAAATACGATTTGAGAAAGCACTGTAAAGTTTTTTGGGATGAGATAGGATCAGTATCCTCACTGAAGTTTACCTCAAACTTGGTGAAATATTGAATGAAGAAATTGTGAAATCTTTATGAAGAAAGATAGTTTATTTTGACAGCAATAAGTAACAGATGGAAAGGATGCTTTGCAAAGAGGCAGACATTCACGGGAAGAGAAGGTGAATGGAGCTTCAAGGCAGGAATATGTCTAATTAAAACCAGTAAATCACTTCCTCTTTATCAATAAGGGAAAAAAAGAGAAAAGAGGCCAGGTGGAATGACTTTACTGATGATCTAGCTGCCACTGGGAGAAAGCCAAGTTGCAGTTATAAAGCATTACATTTATTATTAGCTACTAGATGATAAATTTGTACTGATTTCCCCTAAAGAGAAAGTAAGCTAAAGAGAGCTAAGATGTGCTTATAAGATACAGATGTTGATTCAATACAACGGATAAAAGGGTTCTCCCTTAGTGAGGAGAGATTAGCTGGACAGTATCCCTGCAGGTTGTACATTTAGCATGTGAACAGTAAAAAAATGGAGACACAATAACAACAGAAGATAAATTTGAAACAGCTGAAGTAGAAATGAGATCATACAGGACCTTTCAAGGAGACTTTTTT